TGACATGGTTCAGGACAGAAAATGTGCTGTATAGGCAGCAGGTAGCCAGCTGTGCTGAGGAGCAATGGTGTGGACACTAGAAACTCTGCCCCTTTCTCTTCTTATCTTCAGTTTCTCATATGCCAACTGCTCTCCTTTCTGGTGTCTGTTTCTACCTCACATGGCAGCTTGAACCATGACTCAGCATCTATGTAGGAAAACAGCAGGAGCCAAAACCACTTGTCCCAGGAGGCATTGCTCTTACCTACAGGGCTGTCTACTCATCTGTCCCAGGAAGCATTGCTTTCAACAGTTACCTACAGGCCTGTCTACTCTCCATAGATCTCTGCATTTGGAAACCCAAGTGTGAATCTGTACTGTGCTCAGTTCTTCCCAGGTACTGCCTTCATCAAACATCCTGGGAAGCACTTGAACAATTTCCTGGAAAAACATGAAGAAACAGCTCACTAGCTGTGGTGCTGTCCTCCTGATTGGAAAGCCCTATCTTACTCAAAATGTGATTTTATTCCTCCTCTTTGTATTCCTTATCCCAAAATAAGAGTGAGAAAGAAATAACTCATTTTCTTTGAAGAAGAAAGGGTCAGAAAATCACATTAAAAGGCTTCCTATTTAGGAATGTTGGCTATGAGAATTTTTCTTCATAAAATAGAATGAAAGAGTAAAATACCACCAAAATTTAAACTAGATTATAATTAAGCTCTTTAAACCCATTCAATTTTCAAGTATTCAATGGTAACAGGAAACTACTTAGAAAATATGAACAAGAAAGGCAGTCGGAACCAAATAACACAGCTAATGTAAGAGGAAGAATTTTATTGTGGAGCTCTCAAAATTCAGCAACTCAAAAGAAAAAAGAAAGGAAGGAAAACAATATGCTGATAAAAAGCCATGGTGGTTAATGGTGTTAATTGAGAGTGACCAGTACTGTCAGGTTAGCAAGCAAAGAGTTAGAAATAAAGCTGCTGTGTGTACAATCAACAAGCTGCCTTGTATTTGAGAAAACCAGGGGAAAAGATAAGCATATACAGCACATACTTTAGCAACTATGATCTTTTAAAATAGTGGCCTTAGGAAATCTGCTTTGGCAAGAGCCGGCAGAGGCTCCTGTGGAGAGGAAGTGAAAAGGCTGGGCAAATAAACAAGGACTGCTGGCACGTTCAAAGCGCAGGGGATAGTTCATAGAGCAAAACACAGTCCTAAGTAAATGGGTTTCAGGCAATTTCAGTGTTAAGATAACATCATTAAGAGTAGAACAGATTGTGCTCAAACCCTGCTGTTTATAATTAACACGTTGCTTCCAAATACTCCTGGGCCCCTGGTAAATAGTCTTCTGCTCACATCTACCCAGACCAATCAGAGGATTTTCATCAGATTCCATGCTGGGCCAGCACCTGTTTGGACAAATCCAATAGAGCCAAAGAACTCCTTTCCCTGGGCAGCTGAGTAGTTGGATGAACACAGCTTGGCTTAGTCATTGTCACAGTGTCCATATGGCTTTGAAGCTTGTTTTCACAAGAAATCATACAAGTATTTTATTATGTCAAAGTTCACCGTCCTAGAAACAAAAACAGATAGCATGTTAGCATCCTCATTCTCTGCTGCTCAGCTCTGAATGACTGCAAGGCACGTTGGAAGCAAATCACAACTGGACAATGCTGTCAGATGCACCAGGATAGGGACAGCACTCATTTTTTAAATGTACCTTATAAACACAGCTTTTAAACCATTCAGAAATTACTTAAAACAAAACAAAAAGTTAGAGCTTCTCAGCATTCTGTATTTGAGCTATATTGTATGATGTTTAGATTTTATTTGAAAGCTACTTGCTCGCTGCCTAATTATCAGAATGAAGTAATTAGAGATGCAGAAGTATTTAAATCTTGTTTGCTTCAGAACATTGTTTATCTCCCAAACACCTGTTTTATCATCACATCATATTAGCACAGCTCATCTGTCCTCATTTGTAGCTTTCATTATCTTCAGTCTTTAGCAGTGGCTGACCTGTATGCGCATTTCAACTAAATCTGTATGATCCAAGAATATGATACAACAGACAACGTAGATGTATATTTTTATACCCTGATGGCAGGCAGAATGAAATAACAGAGGAAGAGACATATAATTATTTTCCTTCCTCCAAACTCATTCTTCACTATAAATAATCAGACTTGGAGGTTTATTATTTGAATAAATGGTCAAAATAATTAGATATAATGATCTAGCAATAAGTATAAAATTAAAGCCCTAAGTATTCAGTTCTGCAAAAATAATAATCCATTTGAGAACAGCCTTTTTGAGTCACTAATTGCACATTCTTACTTATTAAACTATCGTCATTATTCTTTTTGTCTATCATTTTGTTATATACTTTCTAAAAAAGTTTCTACACAAATGACTGACATGCCAAATATTTTTAAAATATATGGGTAGGGAGTTATACAGATTTTGAAACACATTTAAAAATAGCTCGATTTGTGAGATACTCTGTCTACTGAAATATCCAATGCTGAACTGAAGAATATGTTTATTATAACAAGTGCCTCCCTGAGAAATACTGAATGTTTCTAAGCAGCAAAACAGTGAACATTTCAATTAAGTCCTCGCAGGCACAAGGATATGACTATAACATCCCAACATGGTCCTTTCACTCACCTCTGAAATCTGCTGGCAATAAAGTCCCTATAGTAATGATCTTAAAATATCCTTACAGCCGGTAACCTGATTTATCAAGAGTCTTAAGAGAAACTAGAAACAGCAGGCGAGACTTATTCATCCATGAGGAAGAGAAAAGGTGTATTTGTATAACTCTCTGAATATATTCCCCTGATGGCTCTGAATTGTCAACAAAGTAAAATAGATTTAATGTCTTATTTTTGCTTATTTGTTTTGTTTTGGTTTTTTGTTTTGTCCTTGATGAAAACAAAGAGTACTGAAAAAGTTAAGTTAAAAAAACAACTAACACCAACATAGGATTATCTGTATATTCCAAAGCATATTATTCAATGGACTACTGGATAGGAGGATAAAATGATCAATGTGAAGATACATCTACAAGACTAAGAATGCACAGAGAACACAGAGTCAAGAACACACAGGGAGACCATAGAGTCAAGAACACACAGGGAGACCATAGAGTCAAGAACACACAGGGAGACCATAGAGTCAAGAACACACAGGGAGAACACAGAGTCAAAAATACACAGGGAGACCATAGAGTCAAGAACACACAGGGAGAACAGAGTCAAGAACACACAGGGAGAACAAAGTCAAGAATGCACAGTGGGAACATACAGTCAAGAACACACAGGGAGATCAGAGTCAATAACACACAGGGAGAACATAGAGTCAAGAAAACACAGTGGGAACATAGAGTCAAGAACACACAGAGAGAACAGAGTCAAGAATGCACAGGGAGAACAAAGAGTCACAACTATGCTGCAGTAACCATTGAAAGATGTTTGTCCAAACAAATGAAAACAGATTACTTTGTGATAGGACCCTTATATGTTTCAGTAAAAATGTGCTGTTATGGCATCATTTATACAATAAAATACTAATAGAATAAATGGTGTGATTTAAACATCCTAAACAACTAAAAAAAGCACTCATTTATAGACAATTCACTGTATTCTGTGTCTCTACTTTGTCAGTCAACTATCCCTAAGAAAGCAAATCATACTGTGTAATTTCTTTTTCTGAAAGATTTTTAGGACTGGGTTATGGCTCAGTGGTTAAGAACACACAGAGCTCTTGCAGAGGACCCAGGTTAGAGTTCCAACACCCACACCTGGTTGGCTCACAACTGCCTATATATCTAGTTTCAAGGATCCAATACCTCTGTCTTCTGCAGTTATCTGCACTCATGTGCACAAACCAGCTCATAGGCACACACATATAATTGAACAAAAGATTTATCTGTGGTGTCCCCAAAGCCTAGAAGAGGGCATTGAATCCACTGAAACTGAAGTATGAGCTGCTAGCCATGTGAGTGATGAGAACCTAAGCTAGGTCCTCTGCAAGAGCAGCAAATGCTCTTCAGTGCCCATGTTGTAAGATTTGATAGCTCCCCTCCAAATCCCAAACAAACAAACAAACAAACAACAAAAACCCAACAACTAAGTAATCAGGGAACTGAATGTGCAAGATCACTACTTTATGAAACATTTATTAAGCAAGGTATCCAATTACTTCTATGGTCCCCCAGCTCTCAACAAACAAGTGACCTGCCAACTGACCCCATACATCTTCTGAAACAATTTAGAATTTCAACAGCATGACCACAATGGCAATATCAAATACCAGGGTGGACATAACCACAGTAACCATGGACAAATGGATCATGTTAAAGAAAACTTTGGTCTATGAAGACGGTACACTTGCACTTGCTTCTGGTCTTTCTTGAGTTTAGATGCACATTAGAGTCATACAAATACAATTTTAAGATTTCAGATAACATACACATAGTGCAGAAGATTCTGTTTCCCATGAAACACAAATTATTTTCTAAAGTAAGCAGCTAGAAAGAAATAGGATAAATACACTGAGGGTGACAATTTCTCTAGGAGTAATTCATTTTGTATCTATGAATATGTATAATATATGTGTGTATGCAGGCTTGCATGATATTAGTGCACACATGCTGGCATGTGTACATGAAGGCTTGACATTGACAATGTCAAGTGTCCTCCTTGATCAGGTTCCACTTTATTTATTGAGGCTAAATCTGGACCTTACCAATCCTAGTTAGCCTAGCTAGGCAGCTTCACCCAGACATCATGTCCCTATCTCTCATGTGCTGGGATTACACACAGATGCCCCTTCTGCACTGCCTGGTTCTGCTGATCTGAACCTTTGTCCTGAAGCTTGTATGGAAATGTCTTACTCACTGAGCTGCTGTCTCCTCAGCCCACCTATGGGTAACTCTTAAATCAGAATTTACAAATTCAGAACTAAACCATATAACATACATTTAAGAATTTAGTTTTATCTATATTTTTTATTTCAACTTATCAATTATTTTACTAAGAGTAAAGACATTTTTGTCTTATGCTTTTATACTTTGTGGCTAGTTTTGAAAATCTGTTTCTCTGCCAACTTTTGTCAATAACAAACTTTATCTTCCAACCTTGAGGCATTTCCATTGACTATGGAGAATTTGCAAATGGTTACCTCATGCCACACAGTAAGACTATTCCATAGTCTCCTCCCCAGAGCTCCTGGTTCTATGTCTTCTTCACACTTCTACTTCACATTCTGTGCTTCCTGTCTGTAAGTCCTTCATGTCTTCACTCAATTTTCTTTCTTTCATTCTGGGCATTAACTAAAACATGGCTCTCTGAAGGGCACAGTTTTCTCCTCAGTTCTTGCTAATAAAGTTTCATCTCTCAAATGTATGCAGACAGTTCGGTCAGTTGAGGTTGGTGTCCTTGTGTAAGATCCCTGCCCTTGAACCCAGCCCATTCCAGTCACCAGCCTTCTATGTACCTTGTCACCATTTCCTAGTCACCAAATACAGTTAACATGGAGTTTGGTTTCCTTAGCATCCCAAGACCTGTACTCTCACTATGTATTTGTCTTCTTATCTGTAAACACTCAGAATAAATATACTCAATAATATTCTACCTCTCAGAACATATCTACTGAGATGTTATTTGTTCCATTTCAAGTATCTGGGGCACCTAAGGGACAATTAGATTACAGATCCCTTCATTTTATTCTGACCTACAAATACCAAGTGTTTATGTGTTAGGCATGAAACTCTTGGCTCCTGGCTGGTTTGCCTTTCTTTCTGTCCAGTTCAGACTCCACAGTTCATCACACCAAGAGCTCACTTGCTAGCATCTACTGAACTCATCTGGCAAAACCCCAGTAGTATGTGATTTCAATTATTATTCTCTGCAGCCCTGGTATCTAGCATATGGAATGCTGCTGGAAAAGATCACAAGTCTCACAGATTGATGCCACTGTAAATTCAAGGTCAAGAATTCCAAGCCCTCTCAGCACGCTGCTTTTCTTGTGAGCAGTGGCTTCCATACCCACAGCCGCTGATTCCAATATTACATACTATTCTCAGTAAAAGCTGCTACTGTTTCTGCCTTTGGTCACAATTCTGCCTCTTCTTTCACGGAGAAAACAGAAGAGATTAGGTGAGAATTTCCTCATCTTTTTGCTACTAAGGTCAGCATCTGGATCTGCCCTGTTCAGTTCACTGCTGTCTCAACCTGGGCTTGATCAACTCCTTGCTACATCCTAGGCTTACACAGCACTGCAAACATTTGGTGCTTCAAATTTACTTTGTTTTGTATTTTTAACTTTCCTCTGTTTTTTATCAGCATTTAAGTAGAATCATATCTTCAAAACAAAAGCTAACTACATAAATGCACACAAGCTTTAGCTATGTCATACTTGTTTCTGGGTCTCCAAAGCCAAGCACTGCGTTAGTATACAACAGGATCATAAATGTTAAGTACAATAAGAACAGAAGTCAAAGCTGTGCTTGCTGAGTCTACTTTCTTATCAAGAATACTGAAGCAGAGTGGAATGTGACGTCTGCCCTATCATGCCCTGCAAGTACAAGTGAGTGCTCCTCATGAAATCAGGACTCTGATTCCTTTCACTGCTAAGCTTCCTTAGTTGATAGGCATGTGAGAGTTCTACATACATATAACTCCATATAACTCCTTTATCTGCTTACGCTCTACCGTGACTTCTTCCCTATGCTTTTTCTTCAAAAGTAGAATTCCTAATTCTAAAGTATCTTTCCTAAAAATATAAATTACTGATCGATCTAATGGTTTGTTTTCTGCTACTTTGCTGACTAGCTGTTATTGTTTTGTTTGACACAAACTAGATCTAGATCACTCTAGTGACAAACTAGACAAACTAGAGTGATCTAGGAAGAGGGAATCTCAACTGAAAAATATAGACTCCCAGATTAGTCTATAGATAAGTGTGTAGAGTTTTTTTTTTTGATTAATGATTAATATGGGTGGGCCCAGTACACTGTGGTGGTGATGCCCCTAGGCAGGTGGTCTTGGTGGTATAAAAAGCAGTAAATGAGTCATAGAAAGCAAGCCAGTAGGAATAGCTGCCCATGGTCTCTGCAGGAGTTTCTATGTCCAGGTTCCTGCCTGCTTGAGTTGCCAACTTGGCTTCCCTCAACGGATAGGAGGGAGTGATCAGGAGTGAGCCAAATAAGCCCTCTCCTCCCCAAGTTGCATTTGGCCATGATCTCTCTCAGAGCAATAGAAAGCACATTAGGACAGCACAGACGCCTCAAAGTAGGCCCAGCTATTTCTCCGACAATCATCAGAAGGACTTGTTCCTTCTACCACACCTCAATTTTGAATCAGACTTCACTCTTTTTCTTCATGTTACCTCCAAAACAAATCCACATGGTTCCCTCCTACCTAAGGTTTTACTGAACTGGAAAGGGTAAGAGTATCCGTAATATTTGTGTAATACGTACGCAGGTGAAAGTCCCACAGAAGCCTGATGACAGAGCAGCTTAAACATAAAGATGTCCTGTGCTTTTCACCCCATGGACATATCTTCAGGAAGATGAACTCTAATTACTCAGCTAACTATTTACACTAATAAACATAAGTCAAAATGACATCTTCCCAGTGATAGAGGAAGCGGTGAGGATAGCTACAGTATGCCTGAAAGGCTTCAGAAACACAAGTTCACAGTTAAATATAAGTGGAGAAAAGCTGCGTGCAAAATGGTGGATGTAAAATCTAGAAAAGACTCAAGTGTGAGCCCACAGGGTGAAGACCAGCGATATGTAGGAAAATACAGGAGACTTGCTATTACGAGAGTAAAGCTAATTGTTATAGATCTTCCTGACTGTAGTAAGGGCAGCGGGTTACACAGAGAAAGGAGTAGAGAAGATTGATGAGAGGCTCCTACAGATCGAGAGAGCATCATTGAGTGATAAAGTCAATCAACGTGTGATCTACAGAAGGACTACAGACCTCAGAGAACAGTGAGGAGGTATGGACAACAAGAAAAGAACAACAAGATCCCTCTCAATTCCAGGCCTCTGCATCACGGCAGACCACAGTGCTGACTGCTGAAATAGGAAATACAGGAAGGAAAGATTAGTCTTTCTTTTCTTGTTTGTGTGTGAAAACAGGTTAGAATTTCTGAGTTCAGTCTTGAGTTGGACTGTAATGTCTAATAAAGGTCAGAAATATGAAATATGAAAATGAAATGGCCTTTAACAATAATGGGACTTACTAATGGTTGTTGAAGTTGTAGGTATAGCTAAAATTGCTTAGGAAAAAAGTGCATTATGAGAAAAGATGCCACGATCAAGCCTCAAGGAACAACTAACTCCATTTAAAGGTCAGGTGGAGAGAACAGGCTAGCAAATGAAACTCAGCAAAACCAGTGAAAAAACAAAGAGATAAACCAGCACCATGGAATCATGGTTTCTAGAAGAGAGCTAAAGAACGGAGTGGTCAGTTAAGTGTCACTGAAAAACAAGCGGCTTGAGAGGAATGCCCTCTAAGGAAATGGAGGGGAGTTCTGAACACAGGCAGGTGACAAGCTCTTTAGGCAGGGAAGGTCCCCATCCCCACCACACACACTAGAAGGGAAATACATATGGCCTCCAGCAGTAATGGCACCAAAAGGGTTCTAAACCAACGGCTTCAGGACTTGTGAATGAAGCATGAAAAGGGGGAGCACAGATGTTAGGATGTATGGTTTACATCAGGAATCTAGTGGGCAGGAGAGAATGCTACAGACTGCACTCTTTATTCCTCAACACCCAAACTGTCATGGCTGGGAGCCTGAAGCAGTGTAATAATCCCAAGGAGAACAAGGAAAGAGGAGGAGGTCATGGAAATCATTTTGTGGTAGGAAACAGACTTATAGGAGTCAGCTTGAAGAGAAGAAATTGCTGCCACTAGAGAGACAGCTACAGAGGAGTAGTATAGCCAGAGTCAGTTAAGGACATGAAGAAGAGAACTGGAGAAGGTTGTAGACATGGGATGGACAGGAGCTCAAGTCAGCTCTTGATAGCGTGTGTCATGAGCTGCCATTCGCGAGCAGGAGGGCTGATGTGGAAGAGGATGTCTTATGGTCTAAAGTGTCATGCTTCCATTCATATGAGCTTTGTTAGCCAATGATCTCTGGAATCCAACCTTCCTTCATACAGACTGCAGTCAATTCATTTCTGTCATATAACACATTAGCTACTACTTCTGACTTTACATCATTGGTAAACTAGATTAGAGGATGCTACAATGGAACTTATTCAATCCTAGCACTTAAACGATCTTCTCTTGTTTAAATGACTTTTTATTATATTAGAAAGGATATTTTAGTTAGTATATAATTTGCATAACTATGGCACTTTACATAATCAGATAATCTACACTTACCGTGCAATAGCTCTGATGAAATCTAGAGAAACTGTGCATTTATATTTTGGTCCATTAAGTTGATCTTCATGACCAACTAGGGTTAACAGCTGTAGAGTCACTAGGGAGGTAATCTAAAAATGAAAGGATATTTTTATGAGAAAATTTAAGGAGACTGAATGATACCTTTATTTACTTACAGTGCTATTAGTCCATAACAATATTAGTATTGTAAAGTTTGCGCACCCAAATGTTTATGTGTATACACATTAAAAACCTAGTTTAATAATGATGGGTACTCACTAAAGAGTCCTAGCTTATTAACAGATGATTTAAAATATAACATTTTCTCACATAAACATTATTTGTATGTGTGTAGGTTCCCCTCTCTCTCTCTCTCTCTCTCTCTCTCTCTCTCTGTGTGTGTGTGTGTGTGTGTGTGCGAGTGTGTGTGTATGTTTAGTACACTTAAGTATGTGTGCATGTGGAAGCCAAAGATGAACTCAGGTATCATTTCTCAGAAGCCATTTATCTTTTTTATTTATTTTTTGAGACAGGGTCTCTCTTCTTAACATCCAAGGCTTATGTGTCAGTTTGGCTAGGTTGGAAGGCCAGTGAGCTTCAGGGGTCTGCCTGTTTCCCAGGCTCTGAGATTACAAATGTGTACCATATTTTTGCTTTTAGTGTGTGTGGATGAACAAATCCAGGTCTTCATACATGCAAGCATTTTACTAAGTGAGCTAATGCCTGTCCTAAATAGAATGTTAATGAATGGAAGAGTTAAGACATTCTCCCACAGCAAAACTAAATTAAGGGCAACCCTTTCTGTTTTCCATACGGATTCACTTCCTAAAATGCTTGAAAATTTTACAAGCTCCTTTATTATAAAAGGCTGACCTACTTTGTACTTCTATTAATGTAAGAGAATACATTAATTACCTCTTACTTTGACAGTGATTTTTCCTTATACTTCTTATAACTTCTGTTTTTCTATAAATTAAATACTATCTCATATTTAATTAGATTCTTACATTGCCTATTATTCTTCACCCACAATTTTCATGGACAAACATAACATGTGTCTCTAACTGAGCTAGGTTAAATTTTCTAAAATATTTTCAGATATTTAAGCTTATACTTACAGGACAGTCACAATGACTGTGCAAAGGCTTGGAACAAGTAAACCACTTTGAGATCACTTTCAGTTCTACCATTTATAAACCAATCATGTAAAGTGGACAAAAGCATGATAATATCATTTCAAGATTTAACAGTCAAAGTTACTTCCAAAATATGAGTTCAATGATGATATCAGTTTTTAGGGATATAGGGTGCTGTTTTAAGAAAGCTAGTATTAAAATATTCAAAGCTAAACAAAATAATCCATGTAAACTTTGTATACAAAAAGCATAATTTCAGCCGGGCGGTGGTGGCGCACGCCTTTAATCCCAGCACTTGGGAGACAGAGGCAGGCGGATTTCTGAGTTTGAGGCCAGCCTGGTCTACAGAGTGAGGTCTAGGACAGCCCGGGCTATACAGAGAAACCCTGTCTCGAAAAACCAAAAAAAAAAGCATAATTTCAGGGTTATTCATTCTACAATCTTGTCCTATGAAAACTAATAGTAACATATGAATACATAGTTCAGGAAAACATCTGTTACATAAAATAGTATAAACATACACTGACACTTTAAGAATACCTTGTTAAAAATTTAAAAAATTAAAAAATTTCCTAGTTTATTAAAATGTTGCTAGAATAAAATCAGAATATATCAAAGCATAAACATAATTTATGGGCTTAACATCTTAAATCTCAAACATATCAATTCAAAATTCTAAATAGAAACTTTTAGAAAAATGTAGAAAATTATTCCTATTTCTGCATAAATATAAGGACATTTATCATTTCTATTGATTCATACATTCTCTAGTTTCAGCAAGGAAATGAAAGTAGAGTATGTAGGTTATAAATTAACATCTCAGAAAAACTTAATCTTCATTGGAGAAAAGCTCACTAAACAGTAACAACAAAACATCCTCTACTTGAACATTACAGGGTATCTATTTTTAGCATTTCAAGTTTACAGAAGGTTTGTCATTCAGTTGAACTTTGAATTACCCTGAACATATTTCATAATAAATAGTAACAAAGGCTTACAGGGTTTAGAAAAGGATAACCACAGGAGAGGAAACTTCCAGATCCAATAAGATGGCATAGATTCAGATACGCTGCTTTTCCCTGTTGAGTACAGCTGGAAACCTGGGAGTAACTAACACAAGGGTCACCCAAGGAGGCTGTGGAGAGGGGAAGGACCGCAGCCCATGCAGATGCCAGGCCCTGAGGAACAACAGAGGTAAAAACTTGGAAACTCCTTGTCAAACAACAGAAAGTAAGTCAGGCTTAGCACTGCAGTGTGTGAGCCAACAACACCAGATTTACGGCCAGCCTTATTCTCCCCATGGACAGAAGACAGTGGTGAAAATGAACTGAGAAATCTGTGTCTGGCAAAACTATCATTTGCAAATGAAGTGGAAATGGACATTCTTAAACAAGAGAAAATTAGAGAATTTGCCACTGGCAGACCCACCTATAAAGAATAGCCAAGGGAAATTCTTCAAACAAAAATATAAAAGGAACAAAAAGCATCAAAAAGAAAAATAACAACAGAAAGCAAGTAGGTAGAAAAATGCAACACATCCTGTGTCTAATATTTGATTGAAATTTGTTAACAGTATCATATATTTATGCCAATGCTAGTTAGTCAGTGTACATGGCAAGAGAACAGCTTCATATAAAAATCTGCAGACCAAATTTCAGAGTAGCTTCATTTATAAAAGTCAAATCAAAACCCTCCACCAACCACCTTCAAACTAAAATACTTGAAAGAATGTATATGTCAAATGGGTTAATATTTAAAAACTGGCAGTCACATCACAGAGCACTAAGCAATAAAAACAAAGAAAGGGGCTGGGGAGATTGGTCAGTGGGCAAACTTGTTTAACCGGAGAGGTGGTTAGGATTCCCTAGCACCCACACAAAAAGCTGGTATGGTAATATACACATGCAATCACAACTCTGGGGAGTGTAAAGACAGGGGCATCCCAAGAGTTTGATGCCCAGCTAGTCTAGTCAAGTGGTAAAAAATTCTGCCTCAGATAATAAAATAGTGTGACAGAGGAAGGCACCCAACACTGACTTCTGGCGTGGACACCTGCCACAAAGATACACACACCTGCAAATGAGCACAAACTACTGATACATGGAAGATGAATCTCAGCTACCATAGACTGGGGAAGGAAAGGGAGATTTAAGGGTATAGCTGTCAATGGAAAATAGGTAGATCTTTATAATGATGAAAATGGTTTGTACCTTAATTGTGGTGATGAATATCCAAACCTACAGAGGAGAAAATGTTTTCTATGACCAAATGTAGAGACGTATATGAGGATGATTAGATGTAGAGGGGATAGCTGGGTGGTACTGTCCCCGGGGTTCTATCTTTAGTACCCAAACCAAACAAACATTTTAAAAATTAGACGCCTTGCCACCGGCCTACCCACAAAACAACCCCAATCACATAGCAAATAGTATATGTAAAGAGGGGAAGTTAGAATAAGATCAGTAGACTACATCAATGCCAACTTCCTGACTGGGTTATTTTTATCTGGATTTTGTGCAAAATGTCCCTGCTGGGGTAAATTAGTGAAGGACACACAGGAAGATGAGGTTTGGATCACCAATTACAACTGTAGGTGAATGTATAATTATCCAGAAAGAATGTTGAATGAAGAAAATATAAATACTGATGAGGTGTTCAGAGACCCTAAAAACCTTTATTGTTATTTCAAACTGTTTAAGTAATCTATGAAGATACAAAAATCTCTTAAAATTAAAGCATGTTATGACCATATTAATCAGGATTTTTAAAACACTCGGATACAATATGGCCTTAGGTGGGAAAGTGAAGGAAGGCAATAAAATAGTGATGTAGCAGTGGAGTAGGTTTTTAACCACGTAAGATCTTCCACTTAAAGGAACATAATTGGTTATGGTTTGAAGCCTGCCCTCAAGTAGGGCTTTCAGTCAGCTGCTCCATGCCGTGAGTCTACATTGCTTTTCACAACTCTGTCAGAGTATGGAGCGACAAAAACATTTTTTTTTTTAATACTATAGGAGGATTATAATATAACCCCAACTTGAGCATTTCCACCCCAATTCTTACCTTTTATTTCTATTCTTCAAAATGACAAGAATTTTTTTTTTATTTAAGAGCTATAAAGACCACTTAGATTTTAAATACATTATTAGAAAAATTTCTAGTATAAAACATAATTACAAATTATTTCTGCAAGAAAAGAAGAGAAGAGAAGAGAAGAGAAAAAAGAAAAGAAAAGAAAAAAGAAAGAAAAGAAAAAGAAAATTCTGAGGGGCAGAGAGACTGCTTGGAGGTTAAGATACTTGCTACTCTTATGAGAGGAGCTGGATTCAACTCCAAGAAGCACACTGGGAGGTGCACAACCTGCAACTCAAGTTACAGGGTCCAAATTTGCTCTTCTAGTCTCTCTATGTACACTAGCATGCTTACATACAAAATAAATACATCTTTAAAAAGGAAATTTTGAACTGGCTCACAGGACATGGAAATCTCAGAAAGCACACCATAAAAGATGATGAGCATCTTTAGATCCCAATCAGCCACCCAAGGATAACTATCAAGTCTCAATTACTTAATGTCTAAGCCCAATGAAGAAGAATACAGCACACATGGCATCCTGGGGATTTACTAGAAACACTTTAGAGGACAAACAAAACTTGAGGTCATGCATTCCCAGTAAGGACTACATTATATTACTAGTGCTTAGCAAACAATGTCTGACTTTAGGTAATGCAGACTGTAGAAATGGTTTGCTGAGACTGCCATTTAGAAAGACACTTTAGTGTTAGCCTGTTTTTCTCCTCTTTCATCCTCCCTAGAATAAACATTTCATTAGGTACTTTATAGTTAACTAGAAGAGACATATACAAAGGTCTCTAACACAAATGGTCACTACGTAAGAAAATAGATGTTTACTGTTCTGGTGTCATGATTGTATACTGTACACATTGAATTTCACATTATATTTCATAAATATG